AAGGGTTTCTTTCAGGCTATTAGAAAGCAACTGGTTGTCCTCCAAAGCCAGCAAGGGCTTTGATAGCAAGAGCACATGAGTATCTACTGCAAAGGGCTTCAGTTTGCGCGTTCTGCACTCCCTGTCCTCCCTCGTCCGCATCCCCCAGCAGCTTCATCTTTGCGAGCTTGCACCATTCGAGTCGATTGGCAAGGCAAAAGCTCAGCTTCCAAATAATCTGCTTTAAAGGGACAGATCTAAGCGGGATCTGGTTTAATTCCCTATTTCCCTGCTGCAGGAGGGAGTTGGACCAAGGTGATTCTGAATTCTCTGTCAGAACAGGCACCACAGGGACTTTTCTGGTGCTCCACAGGGAAGAAACCTCTACTTCTGTTTTATCCCAGGGTATTCTACGTGTTCCAGCAGAGCTTTGCTGAGCGACACGAGTGAGAAAAAGCAGTTGCTGTGTTCCTTCTCTTGGAAACCTCATTTATTTTTACACTTTCTCCCATGGATTTAGTGACAGCTCAAGTTTTAAGTATGATTAGGTGCAAAAAAAACCCAGTCTTTGCTCTTCTACCAGTGCAAATGATTGTCTCACTAAGAAACCACTTGTAAAGGTCTCATCCTCTTCTTGTCCCCATGTCCTGATGTGGGGTTCAGGCTGATTTCAGTGGCAAACAGGGAGTTTGCTGCTTTGGAAGCTGATGGGAGCGTCGAGCTCTTGGAGCCGTTGCTATTCTAAACAGCTCATATGGGAATGTTCAAACAGCAGCAACACCCGGATATGCAAAGCTCATCTGTCACTGCGCTATTGTCCGCGTTCCCGAGGGGCTGGTTTGGCTTCTCAAGGCACCGGCAGCAGCAGTTGGCATCTCAGCATCCAGGGGCAGAGGGATGGGGTTGGTTGGGGTGAGCTGGGGCCATCGGCTCTTCAGGCTCCTGTCCCTCATAGCGGAAAGGGGTTTAGTTCACCCCAAAAGCCACCTGAGTTACTGGGTGCTGCCTGACAGCATGTGGGAGTATTGGGGGGGGGTCTAAGTCCCTTCTGGGACCATGAACCGTGATGCTATCAATGGCAGAGATGCCATCCCTTTCTCCCCCCACCCCGAAAAGCCTGCAGTGTTTTACAGCTGCAGTTCTACCTCGTAACAGTGCTATCAAATGAGCTGAATTAAAAGTTTGAGGGGGGATTTTGGGGCTCTGTTTGGGTTCTTTTCTGTTAGCAACAAGAGAGGCTTGTGCGGCACCTAGATGCTGATCATTGCTGTGCGCAGGGTCTCGATTAACGCTAGAAAAAGCAAGGCAGGATTAAGACCCCCACCCACAGAGGACGAAAGGCTGCTTTCTGCTCGCAAGCAGCTGCTACCAGCCAGGGCTCCAGGCGCTCAGGTAGTAGAGGCAGGGCAGGGGGTGCCATCCGCCCCGCAGCGCCAGCAGGGATACTCCATGGAGCTCGGTGGCTTTCGGCGTGCCCAGCCTGGGGATGCCGGAGGCCACCTCTTTCCGCTTGGTTTTGTACCTCCTGTTCTGGAACCAGATCTTCACCTGGGTCTCGGTGAGCTGCAGGGCCCGGGCCAGGCGGGCTCGCTCGGGGGCAGACAGGTACCGCTGGTGCCTGAATTCCTTCTCCAGTTCGAGGACTTGGCTGTGGGAAAAGGCTGCCCGCGAGCGCTTCGCCTGCCTGGGGGGACACGGGGCCATGGGCTGCAGTGGGGGGGCACAGGCTGACGGGTAGGGCTCCGCTGGGCTGTCTGTGGGAGGAAAGAGATGGGAATGAGCCGCTTGGAAAGAGCCCCAGTCACTTGATGTTCCCCTTGCAGAGGGCGAAATAGCGATGGGTGTCCCTGGAGAGACGCTTCGGACAAGGGGAATGGCTTTAACCTGCCCGAGGGGAGACTGAGATGAGCTCTTAGGCAGAAGCTCTTCCCTGTGAGGGTGCTGAGGTGCTGGCACAGGGTGCCCAGAGGAGCTGTGGCTGCCCCATCCCTGCCATTCAATAGGAATATACATTCAAGGGACTCAAATGGGCTAAAGGGCTGGTTTGCAGTGGTGGAGGGGGTCTGCCTGGGTGCTATCATTATGTACAGCATGGCATCAACAGCTCTGGAGGATTTCATTGCAGAATTCATCCTATGAAGGCACTTGTTTGAAATCTCCCCTTGCGCCTATGGGAAAATCCTGACTCCCCAAAGAGAACAAGTTTCTGTCCTCAGGTTACAAAGGAGAGCCCAGAAATGGGAAATCAGTGCAGCTTAGGGCAGGCTGCAGCGAGGAAGCACTGGAAATAAATCCCTCCCTGTTTGCTTTCATGGTTCCAAGGCAATGGCGAGAAATTTTGGGACAGAAATTAAACCTTCAGGCCTGGGTTTACACACATCACTGCAGCCCCAAAGCAGCATCTCAGTGTTTGCCTTGCTTCTCACAGCACCTGAGGCACAAAGGTGCTGCTCTCCCTGGGAAGCATCCCATAGGAGTGTTAAACCTCAAATCTATTCATGCAGTGAGGTCCTTTCTGTGTAACCCCACCTTGGGACGGGAATGGGCCAGCTGGGGTTTTTCCCTTTAGTTCTTTCTTGGTCTATTTCCTGAAGACGAGAGCGCAGTGCTCAGGATGGGAACACGGGATGCTCGACTCCCGGCTGGCGTAAATCACAGCTGCCCCACAGATCCCTGTGGCTGCCCTGACTGACACCAGCAGCTTTCTGGGAGATCTGGTGCAGCTCCCGATGGATTTCATTAGCCCCAGCCTGGTGGCTGCTTCCGAGCTTGCTTTCATGTAGAAACCCCTTCTCCCAGCTCTGAAACTTAAAGCCAGCCTTCCCCTGGCAAGGGTTGGTGCAGCAAGCGAGAGCCAGTCACTACAGAGCTCAAAGCTGAGCTGGTGCAGCTCAGCCCAAGGGCTGCTTGGGCAAGGCAAGGCCAAGTCCCCTCCTGCAGCCCCAGCTGTGCTCATGCTGCTGCAGCACAAGGGGCAACAGGCACAGAGGTTTGCTCCCGAGTATGGTTTTCAGTGGGAGGCTTCGGCAGGGAAACGTTATTCCTGCAAGGAATTTGGGAGTTACATGCTAGAAGGGGATGCTGTGGCAAGGGGAGCAGGTTACTGTTAGTAAACCAGGTATGGGGGTACAGGCTGTGAAACCAGGGCTTCAAACGGCACAAATTCAACACAGGGACATTCAAAGGACCAGAGGCACCGGTGAGCTCAGCTGTGGGGGCATCAAGGATGGGCACAAGCTGCCTTTGCTGGGCATGTTCCACATAGAAGGGAACTTTATTTCCCGAGAAATCACAGAAATGCATTAATTGGGTTTCATTTGAAGTGGCATTTTAGGCAGATTCAGTCCTTTGAGCTATTTGAAGCGCCCCATGAGAGGTTTGCTATTACACTGCCGCTATTCCTCCTCCTTTCCCACCCCTAGAGCGCAGATACTCATGGTATTTAAAGCACAACTCATTTGGCTCCAGCAGCCGGGTCTGGATCCTGCCCCTTGCAGAGGGTTCTCCTTGACCCAACCATAACCACTGCGGATCCCTTCCCCAGCCAGGAGCTTCCACTTCCTTACCTTGGGCTGCCTCTTGGGGTGTCCCTCGGGCTTGGGATGCTCCTGTGGGATAAGGGCTCCCGGCGGGGTGCCCTGGGGCAGAGCTGCCCTTGCTCCCCTCCACTGCCGCTGCCCCTGGCTCCCGGTCCTGGCTGCCGAATCCTCTGCTCTTGCCCCTCTCCGGCTGCGCTCCCTGTTCCTCCCCATCCCAGAGGATGTCTTGGATGAGGAAGGACGTCCGGGGCCTGGAGGCGATGGGCACCGTGTGCGGGGCTGCTGCCGGGGTGCAGCTCATCCCTGCCGGGGCGCTGCTGCTGCTGCTGCCTCCTGCTCTCTGCCTCCAGCCCGGCGCTCCTGCTCCTGCTCCTGCTCCTGCTCCTGCTCCTGCTCCTGCTCCTGCTCCTGCTCCTGCTCCTGCTCCTGCTCCTGCTCCTGCTCCTGCTCCTGCTCCTGCTCCTGCTCCTGCTCCTGCTCCTGCTCCTGCTCCTGCTCCTCTCCCTGCCCAGCGCCTCCCGGCCTTCCCAGCCTCCCGGCTCCGCATTTGTAGGGCAGGCAGCCAAACCTCCGGGGCCTGATTGGAGATCCCTGGCAGGAGTCTACGCCCTTCCCTGGTGTCTTGGCTCCCACCGGCTCCCCAGCTGCTTGCTTCTCCCCCTTGCTCAGGACACCCTTCCCCATGGATCCATGGGGTCACAGCCAAACCTCAGCCTCCTCCTTTGCCCCCCTGAGCTTTTATGGTGGATGATGCTTAAGTGAGTTCATCCTTTTGGGGGTCAAAATGCTTCCAAGGTGGGGTTTGGGTGAGAGGAGGGGGGGAGCAGCGTTGCTGCCTTGGAGGGATGCTCACCTGCAATGGATGCAGAGGAGGCTGCAAAGATGCTGAGAGAGATGGGCTTGTTCAGCTGGCAGTGTTCAAGGCCAGGTTGGATGGGCCTTGGAGCAAGCTGCTCTAGTGGAAGGTGTCCCTGCCCGTGGCAGGTATTGGAGCTGGATGAGATCCCTTCAACCCAAACCAGGCTGGGATTCTCTGCTGCAGGCCAGGCTTGGACCACAAGGTGATTACCTTTCTGGTTTAATTACTGGTATTGATTAATTTGGGGGTTGTGTGGTTGGTTTTGCTTTGGATCAGGTTTTGCTGCAAAGCGACTGAAAGCATTTCACCGTTCGGGGGTTTTATTTGCAAATAATGATAGTAAAGACCAAAATAACCACCAAAGATATCAGGAAATATCGATCAAAACCGCATCTCAGAAGATCAGAGGAGCTCCAAGCGTTCAATAGTGTCCATAGAACAGTGATGTGCACAGACCCTGTATTCCAGCTGTCCTTAGGAAGCAATCCAGTGTTCATGTCCTGTGCTGGCAGCCTGGAGGAGCAGATCCCCTGGCAGCGGGAAGGACCAGACTCCAAAGCACTGAATAAATAAACACCTTGAGTCCCTGGGTCCCCCCTCTCCTGCCCTGCCTTTGCAGACACGGGATGGATGTCCTGGGGTCATCCCCCCATCCGGGGGGTCAGACACCTCTGGATCCGGCTCCCATCCCGAGGCAGGCTGGGCTCCGGAGTGCAGTGGGGTTTTCCTCGGTGCTTCCCATTCAGCCCTCACCTACCAAGCCCTGATTCCCGCTTGCCCCGTGGCTTGCAAGCACAGGGGCTGGTGCTGAGCTGCGCTGGCCATGCCCAAGCTCCCGTTCACAGTGTGGCTGCTGGGGGTGGCACTGGGGGGCACCGCTGCGTAGCCCCCCCCGTAGCTACCACCATAGGGGCTGCTGCTATAGGCACTGTAGTAGGAGCTGTAGGAGTAAGGGCCGGTGCTGTACGGGGCCGGGTAAGGCTGGGACCCCCCAAGGCAGGGTTTGCCATCCCTGACCAGCACCACGGGCACTGCCACCCTGCGGGCAGGCAGCGGGTGGGCAGCCAGCTCCAGGGACTTATCCTGCCTTTGCCTTTTGCACTTGTACCTGCGGTTCTGGAACCAGATCTTCACCTGGGTGGAGGTGAGCTTGAGCGCGCGGGCCAGATGCTCCCTCTCGGGAGCGGAGAGGTATTTGTGGTGCTTGAATTGGCGCTCCAGCTCCGAGACCTGCGCCTGCGAGAACAGAACCCGGGGCTTCCTCCGCTGCCGCTGCTTGGGGTGCTGGCCGGGGTCACCTCTCTGCTCCCCTGCCTCCAGAGGGGCGGCGAGCAAGCGTTGTCCTGCAGCAAGGAAAACCCAAGGTGAGAGCCGAGCCTGGATCTGCGCCCAGAGAGTGTTTCCGAAGGAGGGATTGAGCCGGGAGTGGGGCCCGTGGGAATCAGATGAAGTAGGGCTGCGAGTTGACAAGTTTCATATCAGCTTTCCTGTGGTATTTAATGGGAATTCACAACAATTCTCCCCCTTTTGGGGATGGAGTTAGGCTGTTACATGGATTTTGGATAATGCCGCCTTTCGGTCCTTCCTAACCATGCTTGCTGTGGCAGCCCCAGCCTGGAGGAGCACAGGGAAAGGGGGTTACCCGCAGGTTTGAGTACTCCAAAAGGCAGATCCCCTTCCCACCATCCTGCTTCGGAGCAGTGGGAGTCAGATCTCCGGCAGGATTTACCTGCAGCACCAAAGGAAAGGAGAATCCCGAATGGAAGCAAACCCCGAAAAAGGAAAAGGGCTGGGAACCCGAAAAATGAAAAGGGCTGGGAATGAAGGAGGGGAAAATATCAGACCTGAGCAAAGATGTTAAGGAGTTATTTGGGTCTGTTTTAACCTGCTGAGGTTTGTGTTGCAGGTGAGGCAACCACGGACGGGTCCTGCATATCCTGCTTGGGATGCGCTCGGTCCCCGGCAGCCACAGTAGGGGCCAGGGGCTGTGGGGGGGGACGGGACACTGCAGGAAACCGGGGTGCTGGAGGGCAGGTATGGACCCGGTCCGATCCCCTGCCGGCGGCCGCATCCCCTCATTGTCCCTTGGGGCGTTGGTTCCCGTCCCCAGCGAGGACAGTGCTGGAGCGTGGATACGGGGTGGCTGTGACTTCGGAAACGGTGGCGATTTGGGGTTTTCGGCAGAATCCCCCCCCCCCATCCATCTTTCCCCCCGCCGGCGGCCGTTTCGTTTCCCCGAGGGCGCACGGGGCGGGATGCGCGGGATGCTTGCCGGGCTGCCGGAAAACGCCCCAAACAACCCCCAAAACCCCTAAACCCTGGGGGAAAATGGGGGAAAAGAGAAAAAAAATGGAGCAAAGAGAAAAAGAGAGGGGGGGAAAGGAGGAAACTCCCCACGGCCCGTGGCGAGGAGCCCCGGCTCCAGCGGGACCGTGCCTGCAGGGTGCGAAGATGCAACGGCCGGCTGCGCTGCCCTCGCTTTTCCACCCCGGGGAAACGAAAGCGGCTCCATAGGGCAGCCCCCGGCCCCGGTTCCCCCCCCGGCCCCACCGGTCACTTACGCGGCGGCTCTTCCTCCCCGCCGGGGCTGCGGGGGGCGAGGGCCGCCCCGGCCGTGTCCGTGCGCTCCAGGTTGAGGATGTCCTTCACCGAGAAGGGGGTGGGCAGCATCCCCGCGCCCGGCGGGGGCCCGGCGGGGCCGTCCGTCTGCGCTCCGGGCTCCGCTGCCCGGCTCTGACCCTCCTGTAGCCGCCGGGCCAAGCGCCACCCCTGGCCCCTCCGTCGGGGGGGTGTCCCCATGCGCTGCCCCCCCTGCAGCTCCCGCAGACGGAGCCAGACCCTCTCGATGCTCCTGAAGCAAGGGGGCAGCGAGAAGCGGGGGGGATTTGGGCTAAACAGCAATAAAGCAAATCAGGTCGATTTTAGCTCCATTAAGGTCACATTAGCGAGCGGCTTCGGGAGATAAGGGCTGATAAGGGGAGAAGACCACCAAGATCCTGCAGGCCAGGGAGAGGGGGGGATGCTGTGGGAGCCACCACTTCATCTCTCCCAGTGCTGCCTCGGGCAGTAGCAGAGCCCCAGCAGGGCATGGAGTGGGGTTAGGGCCCCCCAAATGGGTTTGGGGAGCAGGGTGGACCCCTCCAGCTGTGGGGTGATGCTGGGTCTTATCGGAGCCCAGTGAGCGGCTACGTCAATTAAAATTCCTGGTGCTGGTGTTTGCTGATAGCCCTGACAGGGCCGAGCTGGCTTTTTGTCTGGGTTCAGTTGGTATCTCCTGCAGCACCGAAACAGCCAAACTGGGCTGTGAGCGGAGGCTGAATAAATAAACCAGGCGAGGAAGAGAGGGGCTGGGACAGGAGGGGGAATGAATACAGTGGCTTGGGGAGAGAAGTGCTCACAGGTCGGTCCTCATTGCTGGGTAATGCACAAGCGCCTTCCCAGCCCCTCTCTGTGGTTTTAGCTCTGCTCCTGCCCATGGAACATCCCTGCACACGGTGCCTGTATCTCCAGTGGAAATTAGGAATTAGGACGGATGCATCATAGGAGTTCCCGTTCCCCGGGAGCAATGTGTGTAGGTGCGGCACAGCCCCCCTTTAGCGTCTGCTAAATCCCTTTGGCAGGGATAAAGCCCAGATCCTGCTCAAGTGGTTTCCTTCAGGCTTCCCCCCTGGAGAGCCCTTGCTCTGCTCTGGGATGGCTTCAAGTTGTGCTGCTCCTTGCTGCAGGCCTGATCCTGCCCTCTTTACCCTTGGTAGGTAAAGGATGCTGAAAGGATACCTGGAGTATCCTTAGTTTTGCCTTTTGGGGGGCCCTTCCTTCCCAGACCCCCCATTTCTAATCCCATACAGGAACAACACTGCTGCAGCTCACTTCAACCAGCCCAAGCCCCTTGGGCAGGAGCCTCCATGGTGGCTCTGTGCTCCCCGCAGCCCTTTGCCATGGTCCCTATGGACCAGGTTAGATCCTGCAGACCCATTCTCCAAGTCCAAGCCTGCGCCCTGTTCCCAAAGCCCCTTCCCAGTCCCCAGCTGGATTCATGGCCAGGTTTAAAGGACTTGTTTGAGCCTCAAACCACCAAAAGGCGAGAGCAAACAGACAGTAACATTACACCTTGGCTTGTTGATGGCGGGAGGCAGCCGGCGCCAAGGTAAAATGCTTGGCTGGGATCGAGACGGGCAGGAAGGGATTGGGGTAAGTAGCTTTATCCTCCCCTAATGACTCCGAGTGGCTGAGATTAATGGAGAGGCTGGAGTTTGGCTTTCAGGACCTGCGGAGAGATGAGCGCTGGGTGGGTTGAGTCAGGGGAGAGTGAAGGGAAACGGAGCTTAAGTCGGCAGTGGGGCAGGATTAGTGCCCCCCATCTCTGCGTCCCCATGGGTCGCATCCAGCCCTCCCTTCCTTGGGTGAGGTTTGTCACTCATGGCTGCAGGGGCTCCCCTGCCCAGACCTGCTGCCAAGCTCACCCGGCCCCATCCCTGCTCCCTGCCCCATGCCAGGGAGCTTCCCCACTGCCTTCCCAATGCCGCAGATATCGGCATCCAAAGGGCCTCAGGCGCTTCCCTTGGTGCCAGGGATGGAGCAGAGCTCTCAGCCACAGCATTTTGGCAGCGAGAGGCCCCTGGGGGATTTCTGGGAAGAAGCCTGAGAGGATCCATCATAAATCATCGGCTTCTTTTGTATTGGGCCGTTGATGTTATTACCGCTCCCCAGGGACATTACTCCTCTCTTTAACTGGGTTAGGTGAAACCAGGAGAAAGCTGCCTCCAGCCACCGCCGGGTGTTTAAACGGGAGGATTTCTATGGCAGCAGCACAACTGCAGCTCCCAAAGTGTCTGGTTTCTGGCAGCTATCGCTGGGATGCATCAGGATCCCAACGCGATGTCGGATGAGCATCCGAAACCCGGGAAACCCGACGCTGCCTGCCCGGAGGTGTTGTTTTGAAAGTGCTCAGGGTGAGGGAATAATGGGAATATTGACTCACGGGGAGGAAGGGAATAACGAAGGAGGTGGATGCATGGGGGTTGCAAGCACAGAGCGTGTGTCGAGGCATCTCTAAGGAGTTTGTGAATGCTTTGAAACTCAACCTGAAAGGGGTTTTGAGAGCCTCTTCTTCTTCCCAGCTACTTTCTGCCCTTTCCCATCAGTGAAATGAAACGAGAAGCAGGGAGAATGGAAGTGATGGCAGCGGATGGGCTGAGGGAAAGCAGATTCCCTCCGGAGGCTTTCTAATAAACACCACTGGGAAAGAAGCACATAAAAATGCGCTGCTTTCCCCAGTCCCCGGGTAAAAATAACCCTGACGCTTTAACAAGTTTTCACAGGGAAGCTCTTGCTGCTCTGGACGAAGGCCACATCGCGCTGTGCTGGCAGAGGCAGGCACTGGGTGCGGGCAGGGCTGAAGGACATCTTGATGGGACCACTCGCAGCTGAAACTGGGGCAGGCTGTGACCTCCTGCCTTCTGCGCATCTCCCTTTAGCCTCCACTTTAACCAGTTCCTGCCCTTTTGAGACGAGCAGGGTTCGATGGACCTGCTGGAGGGAGGCCATGGGGATGCTGCGAGGGCTGGAGCAGCTCTGCTCTGCAGCCAGGCTCAGAGAGCTGGGCTGGGGCAGCCTGGAGAAGAGAAGGCTCCTGAAGGGGAGACCTGAGAGCAGCTCCAGTGCCTGAAGGGGCTGCAGGAAACCTGGAGAGGGGCTTTGGGATGTAAGGAATATAGGGACAGGCCAAGGGGAATGGCTTTAACCTGCCAGAGGGGAGACTGAGATGAGCTCTTAGGCGCGGTTGGAACTGGATGAGATTTAAGGTCCCATCTCCTGGTGGGAGAGGTTTCGGGATGGATTTATCCCAACCCCTGTGGCAGGGCCCTTGCTCAAATGACGAGGCAGCAGTGCCCTCTGCTTGGACACTGGAGATGTGCAGCTTCCCCGAGCCAGAGCCGAGCACTAACAGGGGTAGGGAATGACCCACCCGCAGTTAGAGAGGAGCGGGTCAGTGCTGGGGACGGGCGGGAGCTGCCGAGGTTCGGGGTTTGCTGTGTCACGCTGGGGAGACAAAAATAGCGGCGGGTGCGAAAGGGCTTTCGCCGGCTTTTGAGCCGAGGAGCTATTTTTAAAGGGGATTATTCTGGCGAAGCATCATGCATAATTCAGAGCTCCCCAGGGGGAGCAAAGCCGAGCTCCCGGCATCGCATCCCTGCTACGTGGCTGTCACTTGTAAGGAGGCAGCTGGAGGGAGCATCCTGCATCGAGCTGCCGGGGCTGCCGGCTCCTTCCCCCGTGGTTTTCCATGGGGAAGTGCGTGGTCCGCAGGGTCGCAGCAGGCTGACGTGTCCCTGCATCTCTGTGTGTTATGGCATTGGTGTGCAAGGCTCTGCTGGGTGATGGGCTCTTCAGCAGGGAGTGTGGTGACAGGACAAGGGGGAATGGGTTCAAACTGGAACGGGGGAGACTTAGGCTGCATATAAGGAAGAAGTTCTTCATTGTGAGGGTGCTGAGGCGCTGGCACAGGGTGCCCAGAGAAGCTGTGGCTGCCCCATCCCTGGCAGTGCTCAAGGCCAGGTTGGACACAGGGGCTTGGAGCAAGCTGCTCCAGTGGAAGGGGTCCCTGCCCGTGGCAGGGATTGGAATGGATGAGCTTTAAGGTCCCTTCCAACCCGAACCAGGCTGGGGTTTTATGATGGCCGTGGCCTGTGGCAGTGTCTGGGCTGAAGAGCACCAGCAGTCTCCCCATGGAGGGTCTGCAGCCTCTGAGCTGCCTCTTCCCAGCGCTTGGACTTGGCAGTGTTGGATTTACGGCTGTCCGTGATGGTCCCAAAGGTCTTTTCCAATCTAAACGATTCTATACCCGGACATTCTGCACCACAGAACCAAACCTGGGCGCTGCCGGAGGGGTGAGGATGGGCGCAGGGAAGCACAGTGGGTGCTGGGTGTTTTGGGGCCGTGGAGCCAGCAGCCTTTGGTCAGCAGGTGGCACAAGAGCCGCGGCTGAGCTCCTTGGGCAGGGAGCGGAGAAAGAAAGGCGAAAGCAGAGAGCATCCCCCTGCAGTGTGCTGAACGAGGGTAGAGCGGGGAGCACGGAGCCCTTCAGCACCCTCCGCAGCACGCAGGGGGTCTACAGGGCTGTTTCCTTTCCTACCAGCAGCTTCGGAGCATCCCAAACTCCTCCTCGGGCTTCCCGCAGCTGTATCCTCTTCCCCAGGCGGCAGGATGGGCTATTCAGGAGGGAGCCGGGGGGTTATTTAGCCCGAGGAGCAGGGCACTGAGGGGCTTTTGGTGGCAATGAAACCCAAACTGACTGTGGTCATTGCAAGGGGGTTGAAGGAGGTGACCTTTGAAGGTCCCTCCCGACCTAAACTGTTCTGTTTTTCTATGGCAAGGGAAATAGGGATGAGCTGGGATGGAAAATGTATGGTGCGTTTGGGATGCAGATGATCCTTGGGAAGGGGGAATTGGGCCTGTGCCTCTGTGATGCTCACTGTGCATCGCAGGGATGCGCCCTCCTGCCTTCCAGTGGTGCAAAGTGGGGTGTCAAATCCTGCCCCCCCACCTCACTCCCCAAACCTCAGCATCCTCCCTTGGAACCCAGGGGTTCCTCCTCCTGCTGTGCCCCCATCGCTGCCCCGTGCTTTGCAAACATCAAGTGCTGCACAAGTGTTCTTTATTATTGGTTTTGACAGGCTGGGTTAAGTGGGTGGATGGGGCCTGGCAATCACTTTGCTTTCTGCTTTGGAACAACCGTCAGGGCTCGCCACATCTGCTGGGCTTGGGTTTGGGG